CGGCCGCAAGCAAGTGGTAGAAAAGTAGGTAGCAGGTGATGATGGTCCACGATTTGGGCAAAGATTTCTTCAGTGTAGTTTGCTGTTCCATGAACAAACGTTGTCGCCATGCGACGACGGAAAGGGAAGAGTCGGGGGATAACGCCCGCGTCTGGTTTTACCCGTTGAATCAACGGTGTGCACCCACCTGATATATATATATATATATATATATATTTTTTCTTCCCCTGCAATTTTCACCCCGGCCCCCCATATTGTCTCACTCTTCCTCCTCGTTGGAACAGTATGCATGGGAAGCGATTATCATGCGTAGTCTTCATCATCCGTGATTGGATTAGCAAAGTATAGCGGGGGTTTCTGTTGTGATTTATGGCGAAACTCATAATTAAGCATGCATGTCTGCCTAAATTGCACAAAAAATACCCATGAAATTTCCCGCTTTGACGATTAAATTCACATGAGTTGCATTTTGACACAACAAATTAGTTTTCAAAATTTGCATGCTACAACCATCGTCTATGCAAACATGAAAAATTTCACTCCTATTAATGCTTCTCTATAACACTTGCACGTATGCTAATATTAAAATTTTTTAACTACTAATATTTGTTATTAAATTAACCATTTTTTTAAAAAAAATTTTACCTTAATTCTACTTTATGGTATTTTTTTTATCAGGATGCGATAGGTGGTATTTAATTGTCAAAATAGGAAAATTTATGGTATTTTTGCGCAATTAATCAACCCTTGATGCAACTATCTTCACATAACTAGCCTATTCGGGCAACTATTCAACTCATCAGGTCGGTGAAACTAACATGGCTAATTAAGGACTAAACTTCTGTTGGGTAAAAATCAATCCGGAATTGTATACCATTTTTCTCATTTTAAAATTCGACCGTTAAACTAATTTAGCTAATTAAGTTTTTTTTAAATCAGAAGTGGTTCGAGAAGGAAGGATAACAACTACCAATTTGGTGGTGGCACAGCGCCTCACACATTCACCAAATACATCCGTAAGATACGCCAAGATCGAATTTGTACTTTCTAGATGGATAGAGTTTGGATATGCTCCATCTTCTAAGCTAGCTGTAGTTAATTACGCGAAGTATGCGCGCGTGATCATCAATTAAAAACTAAACCACCGTAGAGGCGTAGGGTACTTAGAGTACTAGAACAGGTGATCAATATTGTTCTGGAAGCTAAAAATAAAGCGAAGTCGTCGAACTCAATCATGTACGTAGTAACTAGCTAGCACGTACTCAGATCGACTAGAATATATCTAGCTAGAAGTTAAATAAATAAAAAATCCGAAATGAACTCTCTCAGGCGAAGGTAATTATTAACGTAGTATGCCTTCTCGCCCTCATCAGCTTAATTAATTAGGTCTGAAAATAGGGCATGCAGGCCACACGGCAAGTGGAGGGGTGGCCGTCGGTGCTTTGGGTTTTCCTTTCTAAAAGTCCGTGCAATGAAACATCAAATCCCTGTCCCTTCCTGACAACAACAGAAGCAGTTTTTAATTAGCAGCGAGTTAATTGGGTGATGCTGAATAAAAGAAAAGATTCGGACATGTGAAATTCTGGGGGCCGGGGAAAGAGATCTGAGCAGCTGGTGCCCTAGACGTTCAACATTATGGGGGGCGTCGAGCTGTCTCCCGCTTGGGCGCGCGTGAATTGAATAATCCTTGTCAAGCTACACCTACACATACTTAATTGGTACCTGTCGTTCTAACACTGCCCACACCGTCACGATTCTATGTGCGCCCAGTCCAACTTGGTTGGTTGGTCTTGTTCCCCCAACAAATTAAAAGAAAAAGAAAAAGGAAAGTGTGGGGGGGAAAAAAAAAAGAAATTCCCCGCCTGGTAACACGATGGATCTCAGCTCGTGTATTTGCAAGAGACTTCGGCTATGTTTGGTTTGAGAGAAAGGGAGAGAAAAGGAAAAGAAAGAGAAAGTAAAAAGAAAGGAAAAGAAAAAGAAAAGAAAATGATATTCTTTTTATTGTTTGGTTAGAAAGAATATTGTAAGGAAAGTTAGAAGAAAATTCATAAGAAAGTCATTTTCTCTTGTTTGGTTGCCTTTCTGAGGAAAAGAGGAAGAAAATTAGCACAACATAATTTTAATTCATACTTTTTGGAATTAGATTCATATTGTTTGATTCAGGTGTTGAGTGGCCATCAACATCGAGTTTGTAAATATTAACAAGCAGAAGCACAGCCACAATTCCGCTAATTAAAGAACAACATTTCTCACACATAATATTTGCAGAAAGAAAGTTCAATGAAAGAACCAAAACAAATCTAAAGTAAATGTCATGATATTCCTAATATAAAGTATAATCCATTTCTAGTCACAGAGTCTATTACAATCAATTTCATATAAAAAATCTTAACCAACAAAATCTATTACAATCAATTTCATATATAGAGAATATTAACTAAAGAGAGAGAGAAAAATATGCCGAAGTCCTTGGTTTTTGACTTTAGTGAGCCCATCAAAACATCAATCTCGCATCCTTCATCCCTTGAAATTAATTCAAAAAAATTTAAATAAGTAGAATATAAAGGTCCAATATAGTTATAACTTAGAATTTGCTACAAATTATATCTAACACTGTAAAAAGTAAAACATAAACGAAGATGTGAGCTCCAATATAGTTATAACTTAGAAGTAAACCAACATAACTCTCTATCACAATGAAGAAAGATTCCTACACTTCTGCCTATAAACCAACATAAGTTCCAATATAGTTATAACTTAGAAGTAACCAAAATATTGGCTGCCGGTGTACAAACACCTCATCAATATCCTCTTAATTCCCGAACAAAATATTCACACTGAAGAAACTCTCCTCTTATTAACACAAAAATTCCCTCAATCCCCCATATGAGCACCTTACAAACAAAGCTCTGATCAATATGACCTTGCAAATTAAACCTAGAACTGTGAAGCGAGCTGCAGACAAGACTTGAGTCTGTCAGAGGCCACTATGGTACTAGCCCCAATGAAAAGAAAATTTCGGCGGAGATGATGTAGTATGAATGTGGACAAATGAAGTTCAAATACATATCCGAATAAGTGAGACGAGTGCTAATACATATAGATTGTTGTTTTTGTAGTATAACAACCTGGCGGAAACTACTTGGATCTTTTTACCTTATAAGGAACTACAGTTAAATGTCAACTCATTTATCTTTCAAGTGGTTATGTTAAATATTATCTGCTTCCTATCCATCTAAATCCCAAATCATTTTACCAACAAATAACAAGGGAGTCCAGCTCAAACACCCCAATAACTAACAAGACATTATGAATATTAGAATACAGGTCCAAACTTGGAACTTGGATCAGTGAGAAATTAAAGATGGCTGATTATAAAGGGAGAAGATTGAATTGAGAGAGAAGTAGACTCTTTGCGATATGGATCCCAATATAAGCTGACATAATTCTGCCCATTACTCCACCCACCGGAATACACATCCCCCGTATAAAACCGATAGACACCAAAGCCATGTCTCAACCCCTGCCTATACTGCCCTCTATATCGACTCCCCCTCGCCCAGGTCTCCACCCCATACCCATCATACTTGTCATCAACCCAATCCCCCTCATACCTCCCACTCATATAGTAATAATACACCCCGCTCCCTGAACACTTCCTTTTATGAAACTCTCCCTCATACACATCCCCATTGTTATAGACCTGTACCCAAGATCCCGTATTGGGTACATATTAGCATTAGCAATGGTTTGTTTTGATATTTACAAATAAAAGGGTATATATTAGCATTAGCAACTAAAATTTGGAGGGTTAGTTAATTTCTTTTCAGAATGTAACATTAAGCTCAAAGAGTTCCAGCCACAGATACATGCATACATGCACACTCACGTGCACGCATGCGTGCAAGCACACATGCACAAGTATGCATACATATATGCACAGGCATATACACACTCTAAAATAGAATTCCAACCCAATCATCTCACATTAATGAAATACTGAAGGTGTGGCTTCATGACAAGAGTTTAACTTTGCGACGGGATCGCCTCGCAGTGATAGCTAATGTTTCACTCTCAGTTTAAGATTACAAATTTCTAGCCCTAAGCAGCCAAGGCCACTGAATATTATGATGTCAGTGTGCAAGAGGGAGGTGCTTGGCCTTTCCCTCATCAGATTTTGGAAGTAGATCCTAAGGAATGGGAGAGGGCCAAGGCGATGCTTTTGGGAGTACCGTTAGGCACTTGTTCTCCGAGGAGGGAGCTCTCCGAAGATGATAAGTTTGTCCCTTAGGCTGTGTTTGGTTTGAGAGAAAGAGAGAGAAAGGAAAAAGAAAGAGAAAGTAAAAAGAAAGGAAAAGAAAAAGAAAAGAAAATGATATTCTTTTCATTGTGTGGTTAGAAAGAATATTGTAATGAAACTTAGAAGAAAAATTATAAGAAAGTTATTTTCTCTTGTTTGGTTACCTTTCTGAGAAAAGAGAGGAAGAAAATTATCACAAAAAATTTTAATTCATACTTTTTGGCATTAGTTTTAGTTATTAAATAATTTAAAAAATAATCAAATTAAATTGTGATTCTATCATATTTTCAAAAAAAATATAAGTTATCGAACATGTTTGCACAATCGTAACTTAAGAAAATTGAGTTAAATTTACGATGTTTCTAATTTGCATATAATCTTACATAGTTTTGGACTTGCAAGTTATTCATAACCTCGGGTGAAGAAAGATGATTTCAAATAAGCTCTAGACAGTGATGCAATTCAAGCATAATTATTCAAAATTAGTATCATTCATATCTTAGGAAGTAACAGGTTAATAAACATGTATTTAAAAAAATTGGCAATTTCCTAACACAAAAACTTGAGTGGCCATCAACATTTAGTTTGTAAATATTAACAAGTAGAAACACAACCACAATTCCGCTAATTAAAGAACAACATTTCTCACACATAATATTTGCAGAAAGAAAGTTCAATGAAAGAACCAAAACAAATCTAAAGTAAATGTCATGATATTCCTAATATAAAGTATAATCCATTTCTAGTCACAGAGTCTATTACAATCAATTTCATATAAAAAATCTTAACCAACAAAATCTTTTACAATCAATTTCATATATAGAGAATCTTAACCAAAGAGAGAGAGAAAAATATGTCGAAGTCCTTGGTTTTTGACTTTAGTGAGCCCATCAAAACATCAATCTCGCATCCTTCATCCCCTGAAATTAATTCAAAAAATTTCAAATAAGTAGAATATAAACATCAAAAACCTATAAAATTGATTGTAATAGATCACAAAACAGAATTAACAAAGACCCAAACTTAGTCCTTGGTTCCTACTACAGAAAGACTTGCCGAAAAAGCTCATTTTCATAACAAACAGAGGAAACTGATGGTTAAAATATTATATTGACATGATCATATGTGCATAAACTCCAGAAGCAAAGGGAAGCAAACATACATAGTAAGACACACAGACATCACAATAAAATGAAAGAACTTATAGATGAAGTTAATCAGAGCATATAAGTTATAACAAAAAGTTCCTATCTATTAGTAATTTCATAAGGTACTCAACAATTACAGATACCGCCTACTAACAGTCAATCTATCTAATCATCAAGCTATGGAAAGCTTAAACATACAACCAATCACGCGAGCAAATAATCACATTTGACAACCTAAGATGCACATTTAAAATCTCGCATCCATGCCTAGACAAGTAGGAAACAACTCATTTCTTGAATCATAAGTGATATATCTCAGTTCCTCCAACATATGTGTGCAGTATAAACCCAAACTACTGTATGTATTCACACACCAACATATGTGTGCAGGTGAATTAATGGCAACAAACTAAAGGTGAGCATGTCCTGCAAATTAAAAATAAAGAGTACCACAATTTCATATGCATCAGAATGTAGAATATATCACATGCAAGTATGCCCATCCAAGCTTTTATATTAGGCAAAGGAATGTTTCATTGCAAAATTACCTCCTAGTACCGATATCAAGATTGTGTGATGCCCATCCAAGCTTAATCTCCAACCACCTTTTCCTCCGATGAATTGGTAACCCAATAAAGTTTCTTCCTCGAGCCGCATCCTCGGTAAGATAGTCGTAGGCTACAAGAACCAGCTAGAACATATGTGAATTTCAAGTCAAAGGTGCAAGCGGCAAGCACATTTTGAGTTGGAAATTCTTTTCGGCCTCGATACCTTCTTGTATCTTCTTTTGCCACTTTCACTCGAAAATGAGATCCATCAATTGCGCCAATACAATTCTATAATAGATTAACAAAGTGATTAGCAACTTGACTATTATTATCATGATGTAATATTTATTACAAAATTTTTATATTTTACCTTGAAATAGGGCCAGAATCTATGATTTGTCTGAATTTCTAGTGGAACTTCGAAGCAACTTGATTCATCTCTTTCATTTTCTATGCGAGCACGTCTTTCTTTGATAGTTTCAGAAGATAAACCACCAGCCCTGTCTTTCCCATAAATGATTTGCAAGTTTTCAAAACACGGTACAGGTTTGTAACGAAATTGTTTTGCTCCAGGATGTGCCTATTAATAGATAAAGAAAACACAAAATTATTAGTTGCACACAATATATTCCGTCACGGCTGTATTGGAGCTGTAGCACAAATAGCCATAGAAGGATACATCAATGCAGGTATAGAAAAGAGAATATTTGTTCAGTGCAGTTACAAGCAAAATTAAGGAGATGAGATGAGTGACTCTATATACAAAAACCGAGAGCTTGTTTTGGTTTGCTACCTCCTACGTACACATATTAGGTGAAAGTTTTGGGATCTCCATCACTTTGTTGAGTAAGTCGCTCCATAAGTAAGTTCCTATGTTCATCTTTTTGAGCTAAGATTGATCTATCTATATACTCCACTTGGTAGATATTAGTTGCCATAATAGCACTTGCATATGCTGCATATGCAGCCACAATCCCTGCTGAATATTTTATCTTTTTCCTTTGTATAGCCCATTCATCATCTTCTTTTGTCTACAAATTCAAACACTTTCTATAGTAAGCACGTCACAATCATAACCAATTACACACACACATACACACCGCTCTCTAGTTTTAAATTCGACATTATCCAATTACACACAAAAACTACACCTTGTAATCTAATAATGTGACCAGAGAGTTTAAATTCCTCTTCTTAACATTTTCATTCTGTTGGCAGCTACTTCACACACTCAAAGGGGACATTCATTTATTATTCCTTGGGGTCTCTCAAATTCCTCATCTTCAAACAGATATCACCAACAAATTAAACTTCAAAACCAACAAAAAAAAATATGAACAGAATTTACCTCGGATGAATTTGTATTCATGTTGACAGAGAGATCCAAGAGAAACCTGCAGTTGAATCTGGAGCGGTTCCGAAAAGATCAAAGATATCACCAAAGACAACCTAATTGCGAGTGAACAAAACGAAAACATCAATTCAGATTTAGTGATCATCGATTTTTCCATTAACTACAAAGCAAAAAAAGGAAAAAAAGCATTTGAAAATTCAGTCACTTATGTGTAGCATCTGATGACAGGGGAAAGAAAGAACCTGCAGTTAATTGGCTATGACCTGATTCCCATTTCGCGGGCAATTTAGTCACTTATGTGTAGCATCTGATGATAGAGGAACATAAATTTCATGAATCATGTGCATCACAATGTGAACTAAATTCTATGCTCATCTGCATTTAAATGAGTTCCCAAATTTCATTATTAATATTTGTAGGATATTTTTTTTCTGACTGTCAATTAGAACATGAACTTTTGCCTTAATTAAATTTTAACGTAAATTAATTTTTATTAGTATATATTGCTCAAATACATATCCCTCAATAACAACTAGAAACACAACAATGTATTGCGGTAAACAATACATTATCTAAATAAACTGAATACGTCAGATTTCTAATATTTGGTAATACCTTTGAAAATTTTTAAGATCTATTCCCTCACAATTGTTGACTAAATTGCCTGGATCCAAAATCGCAGCATACCAATCCATTCAAAATCTCGATCAGAATCTCATATTTCCATCCGTCGGCGTCGGCTCGACAGCGGGAAGCGGGAGGCGGGAGCCGAGGATGATAATTTGGGGGGAGAGATCGAGATCGCCGCGATCGCGTCGGGGGATTTTTCCGAGAGAGAGAGAGGGGACTCGAGTTTGGCGACGAGGAGAGATCGCGTCGGGGGATTTTTTCCGTCGCTCTCCCTCGTTTTCACTAGGGCTGCGGAGAGAAATGGGGAACGAAAAATTTGCTCTCTGTTTTTCTGCAGTGAAAATAATTTTCGTTTCCTTTTTTGTTTTCTTTTATACCAAACACCAGAAACTCACTTTCTCTTTTATTTTACTTTCCTTTCTCCCACTTTCTCTCAAACCAAACATAGCCTTCGTGATCTTATTCGAAGATTACAATTAAATTAATTAGCCCACTACGCTTCGCAAATGCTGTGGCTTAAGCTATAGCCATGGGCATAATGACAGGCTCCAAAATCACCTGAAGCATTGCTCTCTGAGAAAGAGAAGGGAGACCCGTGTCTCTCCTTCAAACTCCATCTCCCCTGTAACGTGTTGGTCTTGAAAGTGAGACCCAAACCTAGAATCAAAATCAACAATCGCATGAAAATTTAAGACAGATCATGGGTGTGGTCTGCTCCACACCAGGGTGTGGCAGATTATGCCCTGTCTACCATGGGTGTGGTCTGCACCACACCAGGGTGTGGCAGAGTCTGTCCTGTCTGCCATGGGTGTGGTCTGCGCCACACCAGGGTATGACAGACTCGTTTTAGAATCCTAAACTGTTTTGGTACTGTGTTTTGTTATAAATAGAAACACGTCCCTTTAGGGTTTAAGAGAGAAAAAGAGCACGAGAAAAAGATGGTTTTGAGGGCTCTTTGAGGTTAGAAATCTTAGAGAGAGAGAGAGAGACCAATTGCAAGCATTGTAATCTTCTTCAAGTAATCAAAGAATTGTGTGGTGTGGCTCCCGAGGACGTAGGCACGTTGCCGAACCTCGTTAAATCTGGTGTGTTCTTTCTTGTTTACTTTCCTACAAGTTTTTATCTTTGATTTGTGGTGAATTTCTTTCTTGCTCAACTCTCAAACACAAGGTCCGGAAGGGTACAGATTTGATTTGATTATTTCAAATCCCCAACTACTGGTATCAGAGCTTCGTGCATGATTTGCTATTATTTATTTTGTTAAGTTGTATGGCGTCAACTTAACATTGAAAAGCCAATGGAGAGCAAAGAACCAAACAAATATATGTTTTAGTAGCTTGTTTCTGACACTATTATTAGTTTGTCATGCATGAAGACCCTAAGAACTAGACAGCTATTTCTAAGTAATCCTTCGTGCATGATTTGCTAATTCTTTATTATTTATTTTGTGTCATTCACTTTGGTATGTATTAGGATGACAAAGAAAGGGAAACAAATTGCATCTCAGTCGAGATCATATGTTGTTTGGAATCGTGATATGGACTCAGCTTTAGCTAATGTGTTGTACGATCAAATAAACCAAGGATTAAAAGTCGATGGTACTTGGAAGCCTCAAGTGTATTAAGCTGCGGTGGATGCACTAAAATCATTTAATAGCAACTTGAACAAAGATAACGCCAAGAATCGACTCAAATTTTGGAAAACACATTATAATGTTATCTATGACATTAAAAATAAAAGTGGTTTGACGTGGTGGGATGATGAGAAGAAAATTGTGATTATACCCGCTAGTGAGCAAAAAGTATGGAACGACTATGTTACAGTAATATTACACTTTATACTTATTAATTTGAATTATTAGTTTGTTGCATATATCTAAAAATATTTGTGAATGTTCTTATATTGCAGACTAATCCAGATGCAAAAGGCTACCAGAATCATTTGATTAAAAATTAGGATGACATTATGGTGTTATGTACAAAAGATAGAGCCAATGGTGAAGGTGCAGAAACATTTGAAGAGGTTGCTAACGCAATGCAACATGAGGAATCTGCGACACAATCTTAAACAAACGAAGGTGGAAGCTCTTTAAGGAAACATCTTCCTGGAGCATCAACTAGTGGTGAGACAAGTTCAAAGAAACAAAAAAAGGGGATAAAATGGTCGACTCACTTGCAGTGATGACAACTTCTGTGAATGAGTATTTTAATGAGAGAAAGAAGGAAGTAGTAAGAAAACCACCAACCGTAGAGGAGATTCATCAAGTGGTCCCAAAAATACCAAACTTAAGTCACATTCAAGTGTTCAATGCATTTGAGAAGATAATAGATAGCAACCCGGAAAAGATTTATTTATTGAAGTCACTTCCTGATGATGAAAAAAGAGATTTTATTCTTTTTATTCTTAAGCAGTAGTTTCTAGTTGGATGACAAGAACCCCCAAATCTTTGAACTCATTCGAGTAAGTTCTCTATTGGATTTCTTTTTTTTAGGGCATATTTAACTCCCATTATTTTGTCATTTATGTTAGGATGCTCTGACGCCCCTGATTTCGCACAAAGCTGCAGTCCAATGTGAATCAAAAGATATCAAACCTATCATGCACCAAATACTGTGCAATAACACGTTTTACCATCGCAACAATATCTCTCTAGTGAAATTTAAACAAAAGAAGTGCGGGTACAAGCAGCTAGAATAAAGATAACGATACAAGGAACAAGATATAAAGAAAAAAAATCCAATATATAAGTATAATCATGTCCCAACAGAAGAAAATATAGTGCATCTGATAAATATGAAACAAAAGTAATAATCTCTGAATACAAGAGTCAATTGAATATAGTACCAAGACATTCAGCCTCCAAAATGAAATACAACTCTAAAAAAAACTAATCTCATAAATATCTATTGTAGAGCACTAAATATCTACTAAATAAATGACAGCGAGCTAACTGCATCTCTGTCAACCTGCGACTCTTCGGACGCCTGATTCGCTGCCTGAAAAGAGGAGAAACAACAAGCGTCAAAACACTAGTGAGAACATCTCCATCGCTCCCAGGGGGAAGGGAGTTGGGTACATAAAAATACAAGTTAGTATATATAGATATATAAATCATCTATCCTGAACTAACATGAATTAAGATTTAGAAATCCACAACACGAGATTTAGTACGCCGAGCGAAATAATCCAAACAAAAAAACCCTCATATATATAACATGTCTTAAATTGTGAATCGCTAAATATCAAATTGTGAATAGCTAGATATATAAAAAACGGAAACGACAAAAACGCTCCGGTTGTCAAACGCTCCCTTCTAACTTTCCGTCCCTTCCTTTTAAGTAAACTCTCAAACAAAACATAAGGTTACTCATAAGAAATTACAAAGATTCAATATTTACATTCATATTCAGAAGGCATCGTCAACTAGAATCCAGTTAAACAC